ACTGTTCAAGCATTTCTCTTAGTATGCAGTTTGTTAAAATGATCAAACATATTAAACATGTTTGAACTCTTTTGTAAACACAAATCAAGCTAATAGGAATCCATCTAATACTCATTAAGCCTTCTCAAAAAAATCTTAAAATAGGCATTTTTCCATTAGACTGGTAAACTTCTGCAAAGCTGCTAATCACAGTCTATATTCTAAGAACTTAATATGGGGCAAAGGGAAGAAATATTCTTGATCACTGCTCATTAAAATGAATTACAAACCCAGGGAAGTAAACAGAATATAATTCTAAAATACTGTCTTTCTAGTAAATAGAATATAGAAGATGAATGTCTTAAATGACAAAGGTTTTTGATTTATAGAAAAATAAACATTATTCTCTTACATATTTCACGATATACTCTTTTCCCTCTCTAGGCCATGGCCTAGGAGCATGTAATTTAGCATGCCTTTTAGAAAAAAGGAAACATTCAATTTTTAATTTTATTAGACAGACTATAATATTCTCAGGTGTTTTCTTTCACAGACTAAATAAATTTCACTCAATTTGTGCTGTGACTTTGGAGGATTAGACAGGTAAATGCTAACTATCTTTTCTGCTTTAAGGCAAGAAATATAAATGTGTCTTCTACTTTTGTCATCTTGGCTACAACAGAATTGTTTGGCCATCATCACCATAAAATACCATGAAAAAAAAGTTTAAGCTGCATTTTCAACTACAATTGGAGAAGAACTTGACATATTATGGTAACCTGACAAGTCAATGTCAAAGAAAGGCTCCAAAACAGAAATTCACTGTCAGCCTGAAGAGGCAAAATACTAACTTCAGGTACTTCTGCTCTTTGCACCATTGTCCATCATAACTTTGGTTAAGAAAGATCTAGAGCAGATACAACGGCAAGTGTGGACACTGCACTTGATATTTTTTGATTGCAAAAGGAAGAAATGGAGAAAGGAAGAAAGGGAGGAAGGAAAATGATTTGCTAGTTTTTGTCCTCCTAAGGACAAAACTCAAATTGATAACCTAAGGAAAATTCATCTTCTGGTCAAGAAACTGGCAGACCAGGTTAGTTAATTCAGGTGTCTGTTCAGGCACCTCACTCTGCCATATAGACGTATATTTAGAAGATGAGTATTAGTGACCTGTTGGATAACATGTTTAGTTTAGGACTTTCACTGCTGAATTAATTAACCTTGGTTTTGTTTGCTTGGGTTTGGATTGCCTTTTTTTCAGGGTAAATTTTGTCCTTTGAGTTCAGTTCATTACTGTGCAATGTAAAGCCTGTGAATTTAGCTTAAGAGACTACATTTTACAGAATGTGGAGAATAGAAATCTGTGATTTTGTTTACCCAGCATCTGTTACAGAAATCCTCACAAATGAAATAAATACTCTCCCTCCCCCCTCCTTTTTTTTTTTTTTTTTTAATTTCACTACCACCATGGAATCTTGTTCTGCTTTTACTTCTACATTTCTGGTCTCACAGTGCTGCCAAAGATTTTTCCAAATGAGGTGCATTGCTGATTGAATAGCAAGTGGTACAGTCTCTGCTGTGTTTCATAGATACCATTGATTACTGATCTGCTTGGCCTTGTACATGCATATAGATACTATGCTAACAAATCTCAGCTGCATTTTATCAGCTCATATTTTACTATCAGGGAAATGCTTCTTTACCTTTTATATTATTCACTGCATTATGGTATGCTATTCCATTCTATACAACTGTCACAATTATGGAAGTTTAGCAGATGACTCAGATCACTGACAGTGTAAATGCTTACTTTTGCAATTTTGTCAGTTTATGGGAAAACATACAACTCCTGTTAAAACTCTGGCTATGACACCATATTAATTAGGGAGCATATTTGTTTCTATTGAACACCACTGCTGGGAAATATAACACTGACTGATTTGCAATTATAATAGAATTAGATTAAGTCTTCAACTGAAACATTGATAGGACATTCAATGCTGCATTAATGTGTAGCTATACTAAGATACTTAGGAATCAGAGAAGAAATTCATGCTTATATTTTGTTTTCATGTTTTCAGTCATGAATCTGTAAATATTTGAATTTACCATTTTATGTGGTTGGTTTCACTGCTACTCAATACAGCTAATGATAGGTACCTTTTAGTCTCATTGTAACTAATGCTTTTGAAATACAGGAAATGTTAATTCTGTACATACATCCATCACATTCAGACATGTAAAAGGAATAGTTGAAAATTCATCTTTATGCTACTGATTTGCTGTTCCGTAACTAACATATATTATTCTGACGAACTGGACATCTTTCTATAACTGTTCCAGTAAGTGTGCTCCTTTGCATATGGAGCTCAAAGCAAAGTGATCAAAAATCTTATTTGCTTCATTTATTTATCCAAGCTGAAAAGTGAAGGTAAAGACAGATGACTTTGTCATTTTTACTGTGCTCTGTCCTGGCTTACTGATGGACCACCGATCTGAAATTATAGTTAATATATTGTATTCAGATGATGAGGAATCATAATTGAAACGCAGTTCCATTCCTGCTTTTCTTCATTCATTTCAGAATTCTAAAATATGTGGACTTGCAAATGGCTTAACATTAAGGATCTGTCTCCCTGCATGGATCAGCACTTGCTCCATAGGTGTTCACTCCATGCTTAGCAGGACACAAATGAGTTCCAGCATGAAGATGGAGCACATAAACTCATTCACTCCAGCACACCTCCTTGAATCCTGGCTGTATTCAGCCAGCTTGGTGTGCAGGTTGCAAACATAAGTCTTGGCTCTCTAAGGAGATAGAGTGCAAGTGCAACCTTAAGTCACCCTATTGGGTTTGTAGTAACTTTTGCTTTTGCGAGTATTTTTGTGACTGATTTTATGCACGTCACGAAAAATGCATGTGGTTAGTGCAAATGTGCAATTGAGCTACCTCTGCCATTGCTTTTTCGGAATTCCTCAAAATTTATATACTTTGCTCTGTAGTGGTATTTGAAGATACTCTGTAAAGCATAGTAGTTTCATTCCTGCTAACAGTGTGCCTTCTTTGTAGGTACTCTTGTCTCTTGGGACAATAAAGACAATATCCATTTAGCAATTATAGGATTGCTGTATATTCATTTATGTTCTCTGATATTGCACACAGGTAAGCCAGTATCTATAGTGCATCAAACTTAATCTGTGTATAGCAGGAACAATGTTTTCCTCCAAATATGGCTGTTATATTCATATGATGCTCTGGATCATGACTTTGGATTCATGGCTCCTGTTATATGCATTCTCCATTCAGGGACTGCTTCTCTTTCCATATATATAATTTCAGTGAATTTGCTGAAGGACTCTCTTTGCTCATTACTACCCAAATTCAATGTGATCAGCACTGCACAGTGAACTATGTTAGCAAATTCACTACTGCATGGCTCCAAGCTGGTATATGCACCCTCCAACACTATGTATCAGATACTTTTATGCAGCCTTTTGGGAGCAAATCATTGTAACTTTAAAAGAGTATGAGTTTTATACTGATATCCTGAAATTAAACTTCCTTTAAATGGTTTTATCCTCAAAATACACTGTCTTGCTTTATTTAATATATCCCTATATTATGAATCTAACACAAATATTTGCAGTTTTCTTAGCTAAGTGGTCTACCGACGTTTCTGAAATATTTTAGGCAGCTATAGCTGAAATCCTAATTAGATTGAGCAAATGAGAAAGATAAAGCCAATACATGTAAACTGGGCAGTGACCTAGGCCTGCATGTTTTCCCAGGCCTGTGAAATCTCAATGTGAAATTTTCAAGTAAGAACAGAGGAACTTGCAGGCAGTACTAAAAGCTAAACTAGGAAAAAAGATAAGCTAGAAGAATATCTGGAAAAGATAATGCCAACTCATTAAGAGTTTTATGAAGAACAACACACAGAAAACATATCTGTGACTATGAAAACATTCTCCTGCTTCTAGAATTTTACAAAGCTCATCTTCTGAAGGCCAAAACAGCCATATGCTACAAAAGCAGCAGACACGCCAGGCAATACATCCC